AGATATTTGATTAAGTGTGTAATATCTTAATTGAATTCTAGATTCAAACCCCAAGTTAGGATAAGAGTGTGTAATATCTCCTAACACCAACTTGGTTTTATCCATCCGTGATATTTCTTCCATTTCATATGCCTCCATTTCTCCTTCTTAATCCTATTCTTTTTCTTCCATAAAATACCATAAAAGAACTCCTAAAACACCCTCCATACTTTCGCCCACTATTTCCCTTCCATTTTCCTCCGCACATCCGCCACTAAATTATCAACTTGATAAGACCCCCGGTTTACCCCTAACACAAACAACCCACCCTACCCACTGAAATCCCTCCACCCAGCCCAATAACCTCAACAACAAATAATAACCAACCCAGCCTAAACATCCCAACACCCAAGCCTTTTCTTAACCCTCAACCCTCAACACCTCAACCAACCTCAGAAAATTTCTTGGAGGAAGCTGACTGGGAAATCCTGGTCCACAATGATATTCTTGCCAAATGTTTGGTGAGTTGGGAAAAAAATCAGCAACTCAAACCCACAGCAAATCAACCCCCTACTTCCCCTCACACCTCTCTTGATGACCTGCATTTACACACAAAAAATTTATCATTAACTCCCATTTACATCTCAGACACAGAACCTCATAAAAAACAAGAACCCCTGAAAACTTACCCCTTATCTGAGCCCCACCTTGGCCCCCGACACGAACCCTGCTGTCAAAGGAGAAATCATGGGACCGAGTTAATACTAACGGCCTTTAGTGCCAATGTTTCTATGCATTATTTGTAGGGATTCCATGAAGATACGCATGAGAGAAAGAACACTCATTTTGAGTGTACAAGGTGGCGTTTCCAAATTTCCCTTCCCCAAGGGCTAAAGCAAAGAGTGTTTAAAGATGAAGATTCAAGCATGATAGCATTCCGCTCTGAAGATGAACTCGAACAAAACTCGAGTTTGAGGGCAAACTCTTTCGAAGAAGGGGAGGATGTTAGATATCCGGGAGCATCCACGAAGACTTTCCGTAGCCCACAAAACGGAAGGCGGATCAAGAGAATGAGGCCGAAGTGTGGCGACGTTATTTGGATTAAATTCACTCCGTTGCCCTATCTCAAAGCCCAAACCGACACCGTGGTTGTCCTACACCCCCCTAGGACGAACCAACACCCCACCCAACCCTGAACATCCAAAAACATTTCCTTTTTCCAAATAAAGTTTTCCTACTCTTATTTTAGCCCCTAGCCAAAATAAGAATGTGTGAACCAAAACCTTTTGTTTGTTGTTATTTTCCTTCTTTTAAGCCTTTCCAATAAACAAATAAAACCCTCTCTCCTCCCTTTATTTCCTGGCCAATTAAATCTCACAATCCCAACATAAACACCCACAAAAGGCCAAAAACCTGACCCACCACTAGCCATTCATTCCTGCCCATTTTTTCCTCACAATAACCCAAACCCATATGTCCAAAACCACCCCTAATATTGCCCAGCCATGTCCCCTTTTATTGGCCAAACACAACCCCTTATTTTTACCCAAATAATAGCCTTAAAAACCACGAAACAACCATACAAACCAAACCTCAAAACCCCCACAACCCCAGCCCCATCCCTGAATTTTATTCCACTTTGAAGACATGATTCAATGGGTGTTACCCCATACTTTGGAAGTGGATGTTGCTAGGAAGCTTCCCCTTATGTCTACATTCAATGTATTGTGTTTTCCTTCCCCCCCCTTCCCCTGCCTATATAATCAGGCCATATGGCCATTGTAACACACATCTTTGAATATTAAAAATCCCTTTTACTCTTTGAGTATTTATAAAATAGTGTGATGCTATTTTAGCCAATTTCCTAATTCTATATCTTAAGAGTGGTTATCTTAAGTGTGAGTTTTAGGTTCTAGATATTTGATTAAGTGTGTCATATCTTAATTAAATTCTAGATTCAAACCCCAAGTGAGGATAAGAGTGTGTAATATCTCTTAAACACCAACTTAATTTATCCATCCCTGATTTTCTTCCATTTCATATCCCCACATTTCTCTTCTTAACCTTATTCTTTTCCTCCATTAAAATACCCCAAAAGAACTCCTTCATCATCTCCATATATTTCCAAGCCATTCCCCCACAAAACACCCTTCTTCCTACCTAGGAACCTGTCAAATAATCGATTATCCTTTGAGGGAATCGATTATCAGCCCTCCGTAAAAACATATGCAGCCTTCAACAGTCGACTGTCTTCCTTAGACAATCGACTATCAGCTTCCCCAGAAATTTTGCAGCCTTCAATAGTCGACTGTCTCCTTCTTTCAATCGATTATCACGTCCCCCAGGATTCTTGCAGTCTCTAACAATCGATTGTCTCCTTCTGCCAGTCGACTATCAGCCTCTCCTGAAGTTTAACAGCTGTTCTGGTTTGCTACCAATTCCTCCGTAATCCTGCCCTCAAATTATCTAAATGATAAGACCCCGGGTTCGGGTATAACAAGCAGCCTAGAGATGACGATCCCTCCGCCTCCCGGCCTCCGCAGTGATCTCCTACTTTCTCCAGAACTTTTTATCTTATTTGAGCTAGAATTGATGACTTGACTGGTTTATTTGGATTCCTGTTTGACTTCTTCTGGTAAACTTTTATGGTTTTACTTATTTACTATTTCAATCATCATTTTGAATATTATGGAGTGGTTTTTGATGAAGAAATGAAGTGTTTAAATGGGAGAAAGGAGATGGACGAAATTAGGAGAGAAAAGGGAGTTCTTTTGTCGTTTTTATTGTAGAAGGATAAACCAAATAATGAATGAGAGATAAACACCCTCTTATTTTATTTGGGGCTGTTTCTTTTCACACAATAATATTCACTATTATTATATCAAATAGACTCCTAACACACACTCAAAAGTAGCCAACTTCAGAGATATTTCATTAGGAAATTGAGAGAATTAGCTTCACACCAACTCAAATAAGAGAATTAGCTTCACACCAACTCGAATGTGGCCGATACTCTATAGTCTCCTGGAAGGTTGATTTTGTAGGCATTGTCATTTACCTTCTCCAATATCTCAAAGGGTCCATCGGCTCTTGGTAACAGCTTCGACTTGCGTTTCGTTGGGAAATGCTCTTTCCTAAGATGAACCCAAACAAGATCTCCTGGTTGAAAGTGGGTGTCCTTCCTTCCTTTGTTGATGCGCACGCTAATTCTCTCAATCACGACTTCAATTCTTTCTCGNATCTCTTGAGCATAGAATTGGCTCTTTTCGAGATTCCCGTACAGCTTTTCTTCATCTAACTTCTTAATCACCAAGGTGAGGTGATTGACATGCTCCTCTTCACTTATTCTGTATACTAGGATGTTGTCAAAGTAGACAATGACAAAATGACCGATAAAGGGCTTCAAGACTTGATTCATAAGTCTCATGAATGTGCTTGGGGCATTGGTTAATCCGAACGGCATGATCAACCATTCGTATAACCCAAGCTTCGTCTTGAATTCTGTCTTCCATTCATCTCCTTCAAAGATGCGAATTTGATTATAACCGCTCCTAAGATCAATTTTTGAAAAGATCTTAGAACCATGTAGTTCATCCAACATGTCTTCCAAACGTGGGATGGGGTACCGATACTCGATAGTGATCTTGTTAATAGACCGGCTATCACAACACATACGCCACGTTCTGTTCTTCTTGGGCACCAAGAGTGCCGGGACAGCACACAGACTAAGGCTTTCCCTCACGAAGCCTTTAGCTAGCAAATCATCAACTTGGCGTTGAATCTCCTTCGTTTCTTCGGGGTTCATCCTATAGGCCGGCTTTTTGGTTAAGGAAGCCCCTGAGATGAGATCAATATTGTGTTGTATGTCCTGTTTGGGGGGTAGACCATGGGGAACATCTTCGGGAAATACTTGGGCATAGTCTCGCAAAATGTGCTCGACCATGGGGTGTGGTGGTTTTAGAGGTGTGAAGGGTTCGGCTTCTCCATCTTCCAACAGGATTAAATCTTTAATCCCATCGAATTCATGTTGCCCGGATTATAAGATGGTGGATATAAGGACGGGGGTGTGTGTTCTTGTGTACTTTTGGCCATAGAAGAGGGTGGTGGTGGTAATGGGGTTAGGGTTATCTTCCTCTTATTCATCAAGAATGAATAAGTGTTGGCGTCACCGTCATGTTGCACACGATGATCAAATAACCAAGGTCGTCCCAAAAGTATGTGACACGCATCCATAGGGATGATATCACACCATACGTCATCCTTGTATGCTTTGCCAATGCTCAAAGAAATGAGGCTTTGCGTATCAACTCATAAGCCCTTGCCATGATTCAGCCATTGAATCGTGTATGGCTTAGGATCCGGTGAAGTTTTTAAGTGCAGCTTGTCCACCATAGTTTTGGAAGCCACGTTAGTGCAACTCCCGCTATCAATGATAAGAGAACACACCTTCTTTTGTATGGTGCAACGAGTGTTAAAATGTTCTCCCGTTGCAATTGTTCTTCGGGACATGCCATGGTACTCAATGTCCTTCGAATGACCAAGAGCTCTCCTTCATCGGGGCCAATGCATTCATCTTGCTCTTCGTTTTCTTCCATGTTCATTTCAGCCCAAGTTGGATCAAATTCTTTTTCATCACACTTAACGATTTCCATCACCTTTTGTTGAGGCACTCGTTAGCATAATGACCTCGTCGTCCTTGACATCGAAAGCAAATGGGTGCTTTCCTTGTCGGGTCCGTTCTAGGAGGAAGAGGGGAGGAGGGGTTCTTAGGTGAGGGAGAGGGGAGGGATCCGTGGGTGGTAGGGGTAGTTTTAGTGGAGTTGAAGGGTGCTTTGGATGGGGGATAGTTTGGCTTTTAGAAAGTGGGGTTGGGCCGTGTCTAGGAGGAGTTACCCTTGGAAAGAAGGGCTTTGGATTTCTTTATTTGTGCTTCAACCTTAAGGGCTAGTTTGGTAAGCTCTTCCAGGGATTCATAACTTTGCAACTCTACCGTATTGGCTATTTGTAGGTTTAAGCCGAATAGGTATCCTACAAAGGTTTGTTTATCATCTTCTTGCAAGTCACACCTTAGCAAGAGTTCCTCGAACTCGCGGGTGTATTCTTCAAGCGATTTAGAACCTTGCTTAAGCGTTTGAAGCTTGGCAAAATTCTCACGAACATATTGAGCAAGCAAGAACTTCTTCTTTAAGAGAGACTTCATTTTGGACCATGTAGCCACCGGCTCCTTGTGGTTTCTTCTTCATTTGGTGCACGTATTAGTCCACCAAGTAGATGCATCCTTGCGGAACTTCAAGGCCACTATCTTGACCTTCTTCTCATCGGAAACTTCTTTGAAATCGAAAACGCGTTCCACTGTCTCTAGCCATTCTAGAAATTCGTCCAGGTCGTTCTTTCCCTCAAAAGTTGGGACATCAACCTTGAAGTCAGACCCGTCATTAGTTTTGGCCTTGTTGGTGCTACTGGTGCTAGCATCATCCTCATGATCACTTCCTTGAAGGGCGTTGAGCTTTATCTTGGTGAACTTAGCCACTTCTTTGGCCAAGTATTCAACTTGGGCCTTCAAGGCTGCGTTGGAGGTAACAAGCTCTTCATGGGACATGGGTTGGGATTCATTTGACATGGTTGAAGTGGGAAAAAGGTGAGAAGGGCAGTTTAGTTTGGCTGTGGGGTTTAGGGAGAGAGGAAGGGAGTTTTGAGCTCAAAAATGCTTACTTCTTGGTAGGGATGGTGAATGGCCCTTGGGGATGTTCAACACTTAGCTTTGATACCAAATGTTATACCCGAGCTTCGGGATTAGGCTTTTAGTATAAGAACAAAGCTTCTTAAATTGCAGAAGAAAGAGATAATCAATTATTAAGGTATGATAATCGACTAACAAGGGGTTCAGTTTCTCGGGAAGATTATTGGGAGTTCAGGGAGGGGGAAAAGTCGATTATCACTTAAGCAATAATCGATTGTGGGATTGTGTGGTTTAGGCCAAGAAAATTCAGAAAGGCAGGATAGTCAATTACCAATAGTTGATAATCGATTATTTTGGTTTTCGGATTCTGCCAAGGAAGTTCAGGGGTGTCGAATAGTCGATTATTAGTGAAGGATAATCGATTTGTAGGGTTACTTGAGGTTTTTATGGTTATTAGTCGATTCTTTTGTGGTTTTTATTGTAGAAGGATAAACCAAATAATGAATGAGAGATAAACACCCTCTTATTTTATTTGGGGCTTTTTCTTTTCACACAATAATATTCACTATTATTATATCAAATAGACTCCTAACACACACTCAAAAGTAGCCAACTTCAGAGATATTTCATTAGGAAATTGAGAGAATTAGCTTCACACCAACTCGAATGTGGCCGATACTCTATAGTCTCCTGGAAGGTTGATTTTGTAGGCATTGTCATTTACCTTCTCCAATATCTCAAAGGGTCCATCGGCTCTTGGTAACAGCTTCGACTTGCGTTTCGTTGGGAAATGCTCTTTCCTAAGATGAACCCAAACAAGATCTCCTGGTTGAAAGTGGGTGTCCTTCCTTCCTTTGTTGATGCGCACGCTAATTCTCTCAATCACGACTTCAATTCTTTCTCGAACTTTGTTGTGAAGGTCCTGAATTTCCTTCGATCTCTTGTCCGCTTCCCAACTATACTTGGTATCCTTTATGATAGAATCAAGCTTTAGTGGGGTCAAGGGTTCGAACCATAGA